TTCAAAACATTCTACCCACAACAGTGAAGTTTAGAATTGTAATCCTACTCTAACCCGTGCAATTACCTATACTTAAATTACATACCAGTACTAAGATGATGATGGTATTCTATGATGATGATATATATGTCATGATGAATTATTAGTATTAGCGTACGTTAAATACTGCTATACTGCACTATGAAGGGACGTATATGAGTTTGCAAGTCTATTGTTTGCAATTACGTTTGTGTGACTATTTGCCCTCATCTTCCCAATCCAATTGGAAGTTGCAAATACCTAACGTTTTATTAAAAAACATTTGCTACACTTAAAACACAACGAAAATTATATTTTTAGATCACGGTTTAATTTATACAAATTAAACATCTTCTGATTTTAGCAAAAGCTTTATCGAATGTGGCTTTGGATAAACACGCCGAACAAAGTAGTCAGTATAGAGATGGAAGCGCTATCAAAGCAGTAGACGGCGATACAAGTAGTGATTACTCTCATCATAGTTGTATGCATACCCAGTTAGAATATGAGCCGTGGTGGAGAGTGGATATTGGATATATATGTGATATATTCCAGATTGTGATTACTAACAGACAGGATTGCTGCAGTGAGTACATATTACGTTCTAGGCGAGTGTTCTGTATTGGTATTAACAAATGAGTGTACGCTGTAAATCAACAGCATTAGAATATTCCACGCCTTGGACCAAAATACTAGGTATGCATGGCGAAAATTTTCACGCTAGTCAAGTAGTAAATACATAACTGCTCAACAATGAGTATGTATATTTTTCAGGTGATAATTTAATTGGAGCTGAAGTGAGAGTTGGAAATAGTGAGTCTCTTAACGAAAATGATACATTATGCGGCAGAGTGACACGTGACGAAATACATGAAGTTGACATTCAGCTTTCCTGTGAAGTTAAGACGGTAGGAAGATACGTCAGTGTTCGAATAATGGGCAGAAAGGATCATCTACATATTTGCGAAGTAAAAATATTTGGAAAAGGTATTGATTTTTTATAGTATATGTATAATAATGATACTTTAGTTGGTCAAATTAAGATTCAAATTAAATTTCACCAATCATATTATACAAAAAGTAGTCTGTTTTATAATTCGTGCTGTAAACAAATGTTGCCTGTATATCTTAAAGCAGTAGGGTCGTCACCTGCGCACGCGCGGGAATTGAATCCCTAGCGACGATAACAACACACGCTAAAAACGCAAAGGCTCATGGATAGACACTTGTTTGTAAACAATGACACGCTATGACCATCTGACACATGCGCAAGTGACAACTCACCCACTTTAATCTGATGCTTGCTTGCTTACATTACAACTAGAATCTTATCATACCAAGCGAACTGAAAACGTGAAAACATGTGACTAGTTAATATGATAATTGTTACAAATATCATTGCTTCCTTGATGCTGTTATAGCAAGTCTAATAAGTATTGGGGCAGCCAATTTGCAAACTCGCTAGCGAATTGGCTAACTGCTTAGGTTTTGACTGAACGGTTGGCTTTCGAATCTCGCTGGCGCCGTCCTCTGGTCACGTCCACTCTGGGTGAATCTATATAACTGTAGGGACAGTCATACTTTAGTTGGATTGCGATTTCGCTTTCAATTATACAAGAGAAAGTGTTCTATTTTCTGCGTGTAAATCCAAGCAACAATACCCAACTATAAGCCAAACAATCAATGTCAAAAGGCAATATTTACAAATCCGAGAACACACAGGGGACACACAGACAAAACAAAACACACACTGTCAAATCAATGAGAGAGATACATGGACCTCAAGGCACGAGCCAATAGGTGATGTCAGATATTTCGAAAAGAGTGAGCACATCCTGCTTCACATGTGGCACCCGCCATATATCTCTCTGAGACACAGTCGTGAATTTTAGGTCATCCTTCTATTATCATCTGTTTCATAGAACACCAGCTGATGATACTTGCCATAGAACTTTTTGAATGTTCACTTTTTCGCCTATAAACCCTTGACTTAATAGTTTAAAACAGAGAAGACGATGTCGTTGTAAAAAAATCAGAATACATACTACATGCTCTGCCATAACGGATAAGCTGAGATATGTAAACGCCATAAGTGGGGGAAACAGGTATATTTGAAAAATTCATGATAATGAAATTAAAATCATCTCTTTTGTCATAAAGTCTGGTAGAAAGATGACCATTGTTGTCAAATTCGCGGTAAATGTCAAGGTATGAGGCCGAGGAAGCTGATACTGTAGTTTCTTTAATATCTAGTTCTGTGGGACATGTCAATGGGAAAGACAAGTTTCTGAAGAAACTCGGTCTCATGCGAGAATAAAAACAAGTCGGCCAGCAAGGGAGCACAGTTGGTTCCTATTGGAATACCGATAATTTGTTGAAATATATGTCCTCCAAACTTAACAAATATATTATCTATCAAAAATTTAAGCATGAGGACAATGTCTTCCTCACTGTAAAAAGTGGTAGTTTCATTCTTGATGAAATAAGTGGAATTGTAGTTTAGAACAATATATTTATATCGCCGAGAACCATTCTTATGAAAACATGCTTGATGAACAATATCTTATCAATCGTGATTTCAATTTACCATGTTGTATTGTAGTATATAACATCGAAAAGTCGAATGTTTTAATAGATTTTATTTCAGATAAAGATCTAGATCTGAGGTTTTCCAAAAGTTCTTTAGAATTGTGCAATATCCACATGTGATTTACACCACTCCTGAAGAAGACAGTGTCACGGTACTTTAGAATTCCTTCTTTAATGACAGATAGTATTGTAGTTAATGTTTTAGACAATTCTTTAGTTGAACAATTAAAAGAACCGGCAATGAATCTTTTTTTTCTATGGTGTTTTCATATCTAATACAAGCGGGATACGCCATCATTCTCAACTCTGGCTGGTGTTTTAAGAGAAACCATGAAAGACTTGTGATTCGTCTGGATTTCTTCCTCAGTAAAAGTGGTTTGTATATAAGTAGGATTGATGTATGGGTTAACCCTAGTTCCTGAATAAGCCTTGTGTAGTAATACGACTTACAGATAAAAACAATGTTGTTGGAAGCTTTATCTGCAACAACATACCTGTCCTGAAGAGAAGACAAACATTTCAGCGCATTATGATCTTTAAATACTGACTTAGGTTTCCTATTCACGAAAGATTTTAGTTTGTGAATGCGTTTCAGTATCAAAGATCTATTCGACTTAACCCATTCAGAAAGACTGTCAAGCTCAACTTTCTCTCTTTTTGTTCACTTCCTGGCATATTCATAGACCATGATGATCTTAAAATTATGGCTCCAGTTGATGTGTTGGGCTTCTCTAAACTTGGGCCCATATGAAATTACCTTGCGGAGGTTTTCATGTTCAATAATGTTTAGATCGCCTGTCACAACGTGATCAGCAGGACCATATTTGAATTTAGAAAGAGAGCAATCACAATCTAAAGGATTCTGAATGAAGTCAGTAACATTAAAGTACTGCAGTGCCTTACGATAGTTGAATATTCTAGATGATATGGTTTTAGTGTATTTGTAGGAAATAATTGGAATCAACTGGGGTAATCCAGACATGTACCAGGCTATGTAAAAGTATTCCATATTCCCTAATGCAATATAGACTCGCCCAGAGTGGACGCGACCATGAGGCGGTGCCAGCGAGATTTGAAAACCAACTGTTTAGTCAAAACCCAAGCAGTTAGCCAATTCGCTAGCGAGTTTGCAAATTGGCTGCCCCAATATTTCTGACACTTGCTGTACACTAATGAGCCGCATTTAATTTCGCTTAAGATATTCTTGGAAATTTAAGGTAACCTCAGAAGTTTCAAAAGTTTCTAATTATTTATCTTTGCACAACTGATATTTAATTCACTTTAAGTCTTTAACATGGATCACATTGAGATTTTAGATGCTAAATACACTCGGTCTGAACCATCGGGCGATCTC